GGTTCTTGCAAACAATTTTATAGAGGATGGGCATGGACCGGCCAGTTTATACAGAGGGTGGGGCTGCCAGAAATGACGTGATCAAGCCACTTTATAGAGCTGAACTTTCTTGCAAACCATTTTATAGAGGATGGGCATGTGGCCGTGGTTTTGGCCTATAGATGTCCATAGATTTTTAGGATGATTTTGGGAGATTGTCGTCATAGATATACGTAGATTCACCCAGTATTTTTTTTTCAAAAGTAAACAATCCATAGTTTGAATCTTGTTGGGTCACGCATGGTGAATCGGCTGGACATTTGCCAGCAGATTGGGAATACAATACTCAGCTAAAAGTTTTTGGTTTGGCATGTGTTTATGATTTATATATATTTATATTGATGTGTGAATCATAGGTATACATATGTTCCAAAATACATCTACAACATATTCAATATACCAATCATCGCCAATCTATATGACACATTGAAGACAATAAACGTATATAAACGTGACATGTCTCATTTTCTTGTGGTAGCCTTCCCGTTGTACCTCTCCGTTGTAGTTTTCCCCCTTTACCTTGTTGTCAGTCCTTCCGTTTCCGGGTCAAAGTCCTGGAGCACACTGGCTGGGGTATAAAGTGGCCATTCCAAGTAAAAATGTGTTTTTCAGGGGTTTTACCTGGACTGGCCACTTTATAGAGGCATTCTCTGTTGGGGGAGGGGGTATAAAGTGGCCAGTCCAACATAGATTCTGTTTTTTCAGGGTTTTACCTGGACTGGCCACTTTATAGAGGCATTCTCTGTTGGGGGAGGGGGTATAAAGTGGCCATTCCAAGTAAAAATGTGTTTTTTCAGGGGTTTTACTTGGACTGGCCACTTTATAGAGGCATTCTCTGTTGGGGGAGGGGGTATAAAGTGGCCATTCCAAGTAAAAATGTGTTTTTTCAGGGGTTTTACCTGGACTGGCCACTTTATAGAGGCATTCTCTGTTGGGGGATGGGGTATAAAGTGGCCATTCCAAGTAAAAATGTGTTTTTTCAGGGGTTTTACCTGGACTGGCCACTTTATAGAGGCATTCTCTGTTGGGGGATGGGGTATAAAGTGGCCAGGCCAACATAGATTCTGTTTTTTCAGGGGTTTTACTTGGACTGGCCACTTTATAGAGGCATTCTCTGTTGGGGGAGGGGGTATAAAGTGGCCAGTCCAACATAGATTCTGTTTTTTCAGGGGTTTTACCTGGACTGGCCACTTTATAGAGGCATTCTCTGTTGGGGGAGGGGGTATAAAGTGGCCAGTCCAACATAGATTCTGTTTTTTCAGTGGTTTTACCTGGACTGGCCACTTTATAGAGGCATTCTCTGTTTGGGGAGGGGGTATAAAGTGGCCAGTCCAACATAGATTCTATTTTTTCAGGGGTTTTACCTGGACTGGCCACTTTAACATAGATTCTGTTTTTTCAGGGGTTTTACCTGGACTGGCCACTTTATAGAGAAGAAGATTTCCCTTGAAAGGGGTCCTCAGGGTGAATGGGGTCCTGGGCAGCTCTATAAAGTGATTTGGGTGATGTATCTCATGACTCTATAAAATGCTCTGCCGCAATTTTCTTTCTATAAAGTGCCCTGGATGCAGCACAAATTCTTCTTCTTAAAGGGCAAGTTTCACTCTATAAAGTGCTTTGCCATGTATACAGCCCCAACAGAAAGATATTGGCCCGAAATCATTGGGAAGACATGTTTCTATAAAGTGGATGGTGTGACATATTATGGCCATTCTTTGAAGGGAACCAACGGTCTATAAAATGCATTGCCGCATATATTGAGTCGTTTCCTTGTGGGGAACCAGCCGGGTATAAACTGGAAAGCCAACGTTGCTATAAAGTCATCTTCCAGGTCCAAGGGCATGTTTCTCGCGCAAAACACGGCTTTATCCCCCATTGTCGGTATATAAAGTGGCGACCGGAAACCCACTTTATAAGCGCAAAGGATGTCCACTTTATAGTGAACTATACATGGGGGATCCCAGCATGATAGTGTTGGGTTGAGTATTGGATCTATTTGTTTTGGCATCCCTTGGGTGGTCAGAATTAGTGTGGCAACCCCCATCATATGCCATTGCTAATGGGATGATGTTTATTATGACTTGAGCCATGGAAAGATACTGAGATGGTTCATGAAAGGTTTTTCTTCATTAACATTGAGACCAGAATCAAAGGGACTAAGAAACACCAGCCAGGTACAGCATTGCACAAAACTAATTGCGCGGTGTGTTCGAATGTTTTATTCGGGCGAGACTTGCCGCGATCGCGCGGTAGTCTGGATGTGCTTGAAAAGTGATTGGTCAAAGACGTCTTGGACCAGATCCTCGCAGGTCGCAGCAAAACACATCAAATTCTGTGCTGAGATCTGTGCATTGCATCAGCACTGGCCATTGTCTTCCCAATGAAACGCGATAGAGATATGACAAACAACAAATTATCATTCAATACATGTTAGCATATGTTAGCATATGTTTTCAAAGCATTCACTTGGGCGCCGTAAAAATATGTAAAACATATATTAAAAATAAGACCTAAACATACGAAACAAACACAGCACACGGCCAGGCAATACCCACCTTCCAATGCCAAATGCAGTTTTTGAGACAAACAGTACCTGGAAGCCTTCCGTGCCAGTCCTCTGAATCCACGGGCACAGGGTTTTTACCCTTCAACACATTCCTTGGATTTGCAAAACAGGGTGCAAATTCAAAAAACAAGTTGTAGTGGAATCACAGTATAACCCCTTTTTCTGGTTGAATCACATGGATTACTGTAAATAATGGGAACACCCCCTTTCTGGTGGATTCATATGGATCAGTTGTGTTTTCCCAGTTGATTCCCCTTTTCTCATGGAAAAAAACAAATGGGAAAACGAGAGAAATCCGAGCAAATCCCAGATTCAGCACCTCCTCAAACAAGACCCCCACTTTGGTTTCCATCCGCCATACGTCCAGGGCTTTAGCTGTGCCCCGGAGACGAGCGGCTCCCTCGATGAATTCCTGTCCAAAGAACATCATACCCTCTGGTGATGTGGAAAATCGATGATCATCTAAATTACCCAATGGAAAACTACCACCCTTTTATAGCCATATATCTATATATAGTGTTAGTAGACATCACCGCTTGCATTGAATTATGACAGCAAATTAAAGTGTCAAACATATCAAACCCTAACAGTTCTACAAGTGCATCATCCAGAAAATCTCTAGAGGTAATCATCCAAAGAACATGAACATTTTTTGAGTAAAACATATAAAATTATATAGATGAACAATTTGCGATAGTTATCTTGAATTATTCGAAGGTATATAACCACGAGAATTTGATGGCCCAAGAAATTGGAAACCAAACGAAACAACACAAAACGATTTTGCTTTCAGTTTGGTACCGTGCATTTGCAAATTCAACGTGACAGAAACCTTTAGAGCACGGATGTTCATAGTCGTAAAACTAATGTTTCTGCTTTTCTCAACTCTGAATGTCGCCCAGCCCCACAAAGTCGTGCCACATTCAGAAGTGAAAAGGAGATGACAAAAGGCATGTGCGATGACCTTTGTTTGACACATTTAGTATGATTTACTGCCACATACTAGTCTGACATCTGTGTTGACATCGTATGTGCTGAGGAACTATCTAACAAACGTTCTAAGACTGATACTATCTTGTGTGACATATTCACTAGCATTCACTAGGCATAGTGGTCTGATCCGACACACATTTCCTGATTGTACTGCAAGAAAAATCTGACGTTGCAAACAGTGATTTGTACTGACATATACAATCTGACGCCACCTTGACATTTTATCTGACAAATGTATTTCCACAACCTGACAAGTATATTGTTGTGAGGTCGAACCCGAAAAAAAGGCGCAGGGCTAGTTGGGTCCAACGAAGGTCCAACAGAACGACACAGAGAAGCGGGGATTCATTCCCAATAGTTCTGGCTAAGTTGTTTCTATCTGAACGTCAAAAAAAAAATCCAGATCTTGCAAAAAATAACCCAATCCGGCCAATGTACTTTTCGAGTCTTTTCGGAAATACACAGGCGTTTGTTTTTTTTTGCGTAAACAAATCAAACAATCTCAAAATGTTGTTTTCTGTTCTGGTCTGCTGCAATTTTTTAATATGTATTTTTCCTAGACATCATTTTTTTTAAATGATATGTTCCTCTATTGTCACCTTCATATGAATGGGGCATTTCATTCAAATCTTCAGGCATTCAATTGAAATACAGTGGTTTCTAATACAAATGCCAATTCAAACGTATTTTCGGTTTTTGCTCCTCTTGCACTTAACAAACTATATGTGAAAGTCCAACTCAAAAACTTCATTTGTGCACTAAGAGACACTTTAAGAGACAGACTCCGTTTGGATTTAATTTAAAGAGAGGTTCATGTCAATTTAAACCGACATATATGTGTTTCACCAAATCATTTTCGAACATTTCAAAGAAATAATCCCTTCCCCCTATTACTAAACGTCCCCCAAATACTAAAAACTAGGATCCATCTCTAATTTCGGAAAATTTCAGATTGGCCAATTTGACTTTTAATTGCTCTCCTTTAGAAAACAATTTAAAAATAAAGCTAGCATTTGTGTGTGTTTCGCCCCCTAATGATAAAAACTAGTCAACCCCGGGGTGTTTATTATTAGGGCCCGTCCGAAAATTCTTAATTTTTTATATTAGGGTTTTAACTTATTATTAGGGCCCGCTTCGCAATCCAATTTTGGGCAATATATTAATTGCGTTGTAAAAGGAAATTTAACTGAATTTGAAATCAAACAAATTAGTTTTTATTATTAAGGTTTTAATTTAATTAATAGGGTCCGCTTCGAAATCCATTGTTTGGCAATATTTTTTTCATTGCGTTATATAAGGAAATTTTATTGATGTTGACATCGGAAAAAAATATTCTTAAGGTTTTGATTTTATTCATAGGGCCCGCTTCGAAATCCAATTTTTGGCAATTTTTTTATTGCGCTATATACGGAAATTTAACTGATTTTGAAATCGAACACTCTAGTTTTTATTATTCAGGTTTTAATTTTATTAATAGGGCCCGCTTCAAAATCCAATTTTTGGCAATATTTGAATTGCGTTATATAAGGAAAATTAACTGATTTTGAAATCGAACAAACTAGTTTTTATTATTAAGGTTTTCATTTAATTAATAGGGCTCCTTAATAATAAATACAACCTAATAATAAAAACTACTTGAGGTGTTTATTAATAGGGGGGGGCTTAGTATTAGGGGGAAAGGACTAATAGTTTGCTTTCAGTTTGTTTAAATTAATAAACAACATTATTTTCAGATTGATTGAAAAAGAACATGCTAGACATTCAAGAATTCACAAAATTCACTTCAGAGACTCAATTCAACCATTCACTTGAGGGACACATATCCTATGGAACCCACAAATGAAACCAAACAAAACTAGACAAAACTATACAAAACTAAAATAAACACCCACTTTAGACCTACTCCTTCAACATGTTCAATAACAATGTTCTTTGGGCATGTTCAATCCCGAATGCTGCGCCATAGATCAACGGTCAATAGTTACTACATATCTCGCATTTTTTTGAAATCACAAATGTGACATGCAACAAAAAATACATGCAATTTTAGTCTGGTTAATTTTTTGGTCGCAACTATTTTTTAATGATGTTGGGTTGCGAAAGGGTTAAGGAGGTGTCCTTTTTGTGTGAAAAATTGTTGCCAAGCGAATGCACGAATGAGAAAGGAGTTATATCATGTTGCAAACATTGAACGGATAACCCCACATGCCAATTCGGCCCGCATGTACCATACTTGCGACGAAAAAAGAGAAGGAACGTTCCACCGCGTTATGTGTGCCATTTTTTGTTTGACGACGTGTCTGACAATGCCGTGTGTGACAATGTTGTGTGCGTGTGACATGTGTCAATGTTGTGCGTGTGACATGCGACAATGTTGTGTGTGTGACAGTGGTGTGGCAATGTGGTGTGGGACGACGTGGTGCGTGACATTACAACATGCTGTGTGTGACAGGAATGTGTGTATGTGTGTGACAATGCTCTGTGTGTGTGACAATGTTTTGGGTGTGACAGTGCTGTGTGACACAACGCTGTGTGTGTGTGTGACAAGGTTGCGTGCACGACCGTGCTACGCGTGGCAAATTTGGTGTGTGAAAATGCTGTGCGTGTGTGACAATGCTGCGTGTGACAATTTGTGTGTGTGGCAACGTTGCGTATGTGGCAATGCTGTAAGTGACAAGGTTGCGTGTGTGATATGTCGGGTGTGACGATGTGGTGTATAGAGGGGAGAGGACCGGAAAGGATGGAAAAAGAACAATGGATAATGATCTTATTTCGAGTCATCCCCACCCTCACACACTATTCTGACATAGTTTCTGACATATCATCTGCAAGTAAATATGGCATATGTTGGCATATATGATATATGTATATGTTTCAAACATTCTATCTGACATTCTTTCTGGCATATACTCTGCCATTCTATCTGACATTATTTCTAGCATCCTCTGTGGCATTCTATCTGGCATCTATTTTGACATTCTTTCTGGCATCTCTTTTGACATTCTTTTTGGCATCTATTCTGCAATCTACCTGGCATCTTCTCAAGCATTCATTCTGACAACCTTCCTGGCATTCTATCGGGCATTTTTTCTGACATTCTATCTGGCGCTCTATCCGGCATCTATTCTGACATTCTTTCTGACATTCTACCTAGCAACTATTCCGACCTTGTATTCTGACATTCTTTCTGGCATTCTATGCTGACATTCTCTCTCTCTGGCATACATCTGAAATTCTATTCTGACACTCTTTCTGGCATTCTTTCTAACATGTTCTTTCTGGCATTCTACCTGGCATCTTCTCTGACATTCTATCTGGCATCTGTTCTGACATTCTTTCTGGCATTTTATTTGGCATCTCGTCTGGCATTCTTTCTGACATTCTGTCTGGCCTTCCCTCTGGCATGAGTTCGGGTCCAGGCAACCTCCACAGCATACTGCGCTGGCCACATGGAGTTCGGGCGCCCTCCAAGGCATCCTGCCCTCCACAGCATTCTGCGCTCGCGCAATCGGGCCCAAGCGCCCTCTGCTAAGTTCTGAGCTCGCTAGATAGATCGTGCAGCTCAAGTCGATCCCACAGCCACGAGCTGGCAAAATGAGACGGGGAGAAGAAGGAGATGCACCATTGTTAAAATCTAGAGACTCTCACTTGGCTGGCACGTGGGGAAATATTCAAACACCCCCTTTTACTTGAAGCGCACAATATCGCGCAAACAAGTGCAAACTTATGCAAGATGGGTTTGTGGAGTTGGTGCGCAGCAGTCATGATTGGGGGGGCGTCTAATTCTTGGCACACCAAGTCACATTCAAAGTGATCTGGTCATCACCGTTGTCAAGAAATTCAAAGAGACTCAACAAGTCATGGTATTCCAGTTCCAATTGGCCTCAGTCGGGCTACGTTTTCCAGTGCGGCGTTGCCAAAATCAACAATGTTTGTCCTTGCCCTCATGCAACAATTTTGCATCAACATATTCAGAAACTCAGAAACTTTGGTGGCAACTTGCTCCGCTCAAAAGAGAAATGCAGAAAGGATGGCAAACAGCATTAATTCTTGTTCAAGCGCTTCTGAACCCAGTTCTGTATGGATGAGCTACAGGTGCCATTATTCGAAGCGGGCGTGTGGTCCTATTGGCACGTCGTGCTTTCCATGATGGCATGACGCTAGCCACTACGCCTAGGGACATTACGTAATAGTGACAGCCTAAGATATCAGGCCTCTCTCATTCACATGTATGTATGGCCTGCCACTTCTTTAGAGTGGCCCGTGCTGGAACATTGGTAGGCGAGCTGTGGACCCGCATGGTTTTCTTGCTTTCTGGGTCCCTAATTTTGCAGCGTGGGAAACCTGATTGTGATCACCGTATATACCAGTTTACCTTCCTGTTTTGGTCCCCAGTAGGTGCCGGATCTAAAACGTGTCATCTTGGTACCATCACGTTTTGGTGAATCATGTCCCCATGAGCCCATACAGCGGCTATTCTTGTGTAAAGCGCGTGTCAGGAGTATGTAAAACCTTGTAGCACACGCAATTTTCACAACATTTCGCAAAATAGCATGGTGACGAGCAAGACATGTGCTCCAACCAAGCAAGCTCCTGTTATGATCCTAGGATATAGCCAGGGACGCCCTGTGACGCATCTGCAAATCAGTTTGAAGAACGTCTTAGTCCAGCTGCACTGCGCCGTGTTTCTGCAAGCCGCGGCGCGTTCCTAATTAACTGGAGGCGAACCCGACGGCTTGTGCTCCATGTCACAAACTTTTTCATGATGAGATGATTGTCACTCAACTTTTATTTGTTTGAAGTTACGGGCATTGGCAGCTTGAGGTGATTCCACTTCGCGTGGAGGATCGGGAAAATAAACCAGCAACCACAAGGTGAAGAAGCCGAAGCGGTCCGATTGGACAAAGAAGGGCGTGCAGAAGAAACCGGTACCCTTGACATGAGTCAAGCGCAACTTGGCACATCCCTGCCATTCGTTCTACGGCGTGATCCTGGATACTTAAGGTGTGCACCTTCCCCTCTGCCCCTGTTGGTCCAATGCAGGAAGCATAGCTTGGGATAACCCCCCTCCCTTCTCTTTCCCGTTCTCCTTTCTGCTCTTTCAATTCCCTGCCCCTCCCCCCTGTTCCCTGCTCTGCCCTCAGGAGTGTGTTTGTTCCTTTCCCGTGTCTCGCTGCTGGTATGTCTGTTTGTTGCTTGTTCTGCGCTGCGCTGTTGCCCTTCTGCATGCCACGGTTGGGTTGCTTTTTGCATGGTTTCGGCCTCCCCTCCTTT